TCATTCACATACAAACAAAACATCATTAAGACATTCTACAAGCCTATCTACCCAAAGTTACATATCAGAGCGACCAACACGAGGGAAAGGAACTATACTCCAAAGGAAACCTCCAGCGAATCCTAATCTGCAATGCCTCGTAGGGCATTATAAAATAACAGAAGGGTGAGAAACATTATCATAATAATCAAGGCATAAGATATATATATATATATATATATATATATATATATATATATATATATATATATATATATGTATATATATATATATATATATATATATATATATATATATATATATATATATATATATATATATATATATATATATATATATATATATATATATATATATATATATATATATATATATATATATATATATATATATATATATATATATATATATATATATATATATATATATATATATATATATATATATATATATATATATATATATATATATATATATATATATATATATATATATATATATATAAATGTACAAGTACCGAATGCCTATACCTCATACTTATTCACTACAATGCATAACCATAGATTCTCACCGCATCAAATACACATAGACATAATCACTCACACTTAACCTTCTATTCATCGGTCAATATCTTTCACATTTATTTATTTGCTAACGCATCTCATCAATTCCTGCACATAGGCATATTTACATATGACAATCGCGATCATACCATGCGATCCATATAAGACTCATTCACTACCCTCAATCCTCTTTCCGGACTATGGGTACGTCGCTTATGCTCTACCGGGAACAACGTCTCGGCCATTCTACCCCGGTAACTACCTCACTAGGAACGACGCGTCGCCGTTCTACCCTAGTGAGTAGAATCTCTCTACATATACATCGACCTAATTCTCATATTTACCAGACGCAATAAATATATATATATATATATATATATATATATACATACACTAATACCTTCTCAATGCATTATTTTCAATTCATCATATGGAGATAATAATGCACTCATAGAGACCGACACCTCGACCCTATGCAGCTACAACCACGGTACCGACTCATTCGTCCGTCAGATTCTCTTAGAATTCACTCCTCTCGCACTTATACGGTTACACTATAACTCATCAGATTTTCCTAGGAATCATTATATAACCGTCGCATCAAGCGAGGTTCTGCAAATCCTCCAAGGGATCAAATATAACCATCGCTCACACCCCACATGGGCACACGAGGTTCTACAGATCCTACACGGGATCAAATATAACCATCGCATCAAGCGAGGTTCTGCAGATCCTACACGGGATCAAATATAACCATCGCATCAAGCGAGGTTCTGCAGATCCTACACGAGATCAAATATAACCATCGCATCAAGCGAGGTTCTGCAGATCCTACACGGGATCAAATATAACCATCGCATCAAGCGAGGTTCTACAGATCCTACACGGGATCAAATATAACCATCGTATCAAGCGAGGTTCTGCAGATCCTACACGGGATCAAATATAACCATCGCATCAAGCGAGGTTCTGCAGATCCTACACGGGATCAAATATAACCATCGCATCAAGCGAGGTTCTGCAGATCTTACACGGGATCAAATATAACCATCGCATCAAGCGAGGTTCTGCAGATCCTACACGGGATCAAATATAACCATCGCATCAAGCGAGGTTCTGCAGATCCTACACGGGATCAAATATAACCATCGCATCAAGCGAGGTTCTGCAGATCCTACACGGGATCAAATATAACCATCGCATCAAGCGAGGTTCTGCAGATCCTACACGGGATCAAATATAACCATCGCACCAAGCGAGGTTCTGCAGATCCTACACGGGATCAAATATCACAAATGCATACATATTCGCAAATATATTATCATGAATTCTTCACACATCAACACGTACAATTATCATGCACTCACAATGTGTATTATATTCATCATTCATCACAATTGCCATGCATTTTTATTCAATTCTAAACAATGCATAATTTGCCCAAAGGCCACGATTCAAAATCACATTCATACACTAGGATTCACGCCTTACGGCTACCCACAGCACATCACAAACCAGCATATAAGCTATTAAATCAAAGAAGGGTCGATCGCAACCGAAACCCCAAGCCACGATGGCACCACGCGACAGGGAAAATTCATCCTGCTACGTTCGCTACACGCTCGCCTAGCGAGCTGCTAGCGAACGTTCGCCACCTTCTCGCCTAGCTAACTGCTAGCGAGCAAGAACAGAAGCTACAGACTTCGTTCGCTACCTCGTTCGCCACAGCGAACCCCCAACGAGTCATTCGCTACTCCATTCGCTGCCAGCGAAGGAGACCAAAACACCACTGTCCCAAGTCTGGGATCATTCGCGACGCACTCGCCTAGCGAGATGCTAACGAACACTCGCGACCTGCTCGCCTAACGAGCTACTAGCGAGCGTCTGCGGACTGAACTTTCTCCCACTGTTCAGATTCCAAACACCCGATGAAATCCACCGATAAATCCCAACTTGTTTCCAGTAGCCTTAGTCCAACATTCCTCGACTAAATTCTACCACTTATTCTCATTTTCAATCATTAAAACTCGGCTTCTACCGATCGAATCAATTTCGACCTAAAATGGAAGCTTATGGAAAACTCTCCAAAACTCTAACCAATCAACCATACACATATATAACCAAACATATTGATTAAGATAGTAAGATTTCACACCCTTACCTTGGATTAATCGAAGCTTTGAGTTGTTCTTGATGATTCCACTCTTTTCCTCTTCTTCTTCTCTTTTCTCTTCCTTTTTCCTTCTTCTCCCTTTCTTTCTCTCCTTCTCTTTTCTTTCCTCCTTTACTCTTATATCTTTTCTTTCTATTTTTATTCTTTATATTTCTTTCCATTCTATTTCCTCCAATACACCTATTATTCCAATCAATTTCCATAAACCATCCACTTAACTATTAATTGAGACTGTCCGAAATATTTCCCACTAAACTTTCCAAAACTCTACAAATGATAAAATAGCATAATATGTAGACTTAACATATTATCACACTATCCCATAATTAAAATAATTCCAATAACTAAATTAATTAGTTAAAACGAAATTGGGTTGTTACAACGGGCAGAGGTACAGTTACGGGCACAAGCATCTTGGCTATTTCTGGATGGTGGAACCGTGCGTGACGGGCAGAGACTGACGAGGGAGTAGTGTTGTGACCAAGGGTAAATTAGTCAGCCTCCCTTGTATGAGGGGCATAAAAGTAAATTCTTCCCCAAAGAGGTTGGACAAAGACAATTGGATCGTTCTGGAAGCAAAAGTGGATTGGGCCATGCCTAGCCATCGGACCAGTGCGAAACAATTTTCATATTTGGATACACATATAATATGAGATAAATCATTTTAAATATAGTAAATTCTTGTATAAATAAAATATACAATTTAAACATGTTCATGATATTTTAAACATTTTATTTACATCATTTTATGTTACCAATATATGCACCATTAATTCAAATTCATGATTTATTTATTTATTTTTATTATTAAAACATTTCATGCATAAATAATTCATTATTAATTAAAATAAATCACTTGCACCAAAAAATAATATTTAACATGAATTATATATTCAAGTATACACTATAAACCAAACATATGTTTAATTATTCAAATTTACGCACTTGATTGATTTATAAATCATGTATATATAAATTGAGTGCACATGTTAAACTTAATATAGGTAAATATTGTTTTCAATATATTTTACAAAGATTTAGAACATCATATAACATATACTTGTTCAAAATAATTGCGTACCTTTCACCATGGGTATGAATAAATAAATATGTATGTTATCTCTCCATCAAAGTTTCAACCACAAATTAATAAAAAAAAATCATAATTTAAAATTTCACAATTTAAAATTATATGAATTAATTGTGTACCTTTCACCATCATTGAAAGTTGTTATTATCTTCTTTAAAGTTGCATACTTTAATATTAATAATAAGTAACGTATGAATCAAAATCGAAAATCAAATCTAAAAATTGTTAGATCTTGTATTGGGGGTCTACTATAAACTTGAATAAGAAGATGAAGATGTTATATGACGGAAATTGCACAAAATAAATTCTTCGCTTGCACCAATTTAGAAAAAGTTCCCTTATTTATTCATGTGCACTAGAAAAATAAAAGAATGACTTATATATAATTTATTTATTTTTCACTTAAAACAAGTAATTTTCGTATGTATTCATGTATACAAAGTATATCTATTTATAGAGACATCTATGTCAATTGGTGAAGAAAAACAACTTTTGAATTACTGAATATTTGAACCAATATATAATATTACTGAATATTTATACCAAATAGTTGCAATGGTCTAGTGATAAACCTGTTGAATTCGCGCGCTCGTAACCTTTGAGCTAATATCAAAATTCTCAACCACTACACCACATAGCAACTTATAATTGAAATGATTCATAAAATCAATTTAATCAATATTATTTTTCAATTAAATATTTTAGAAATTTCTCCAACATATTTTAGAAATTTTTTTTAATAAAATTTATTTTAAATATAAGCTTTTAATCTTTTTTTTAGAAAAAAAAAACTAATATCATTATTGTTCTTCATAAAGTATGAAGTTTAGTAAGACTTGTTGTATTTATGTTGGTGCAGAGGTCAATAATTCCCAATTGGATATAGACCATTTCTCTAGTTGCTTAAACTCTCACTTTAAGAACAAAAAATAAATGAAATAAACATAAAGATTGATATTCCATTTTCCTAACCCTAAATAGTAATATACATCTCTATCACTTATAAAATAAAGAAACCCACCATCTTCCTCCATCTCTTGGAAAAATAACATTTTAGCTATAAACTTGTTGGTTTCAACCTTTTGTATGATGGTTTCGTATATACTATACAAGCTCTAACTATACATAGAACAAAGTTAATTAATAACCAAATAAAACATAACTAGGTTTGAATTCAAGAGTCTTGTGAAAAAACTTTGAATATGAAGTCACGAAAACGCCTTGAGTATTGTCTTGGATCAACAGCTGATATTGAGGTTGGATCATATTGAATGGACTTATAAGCATGCTCAAGTTTCTTGCTTATGTCGTAGTCTTGAAGTATGTCTATAATACCAAAAAACAACACAACCTCATAATATTCTCCAATCGGTTCTCCTACAAGTTGCAATTCACAATCACTTAATCTTCTTACTGTCCTTTCAACTCTTGCTGGCATGTTCACTCCTAGTTTTATACTATCCCACTTAGAAGGCTCTAGAAGAAGTTGATCCATGTCCGCTCGTGAAATACATGGCGATCCTTCACTCCCCGAGTCACCTATATTTGAAAACCCTAAAAAGTTAGAACATCTACTAGTAACAAAAGAGAAAATAAAAAATAATGAACACGATTATGTAGTTAAGCCACGAAAAGTACCTTGTGGAGTATGAGATCCTGAAGGAATAAGATCTCCTTCTGCTGAGATATCTTTGAAATGAATTCCAACAAGTAAACTATAGTCCATAATTCCCTCTTGTTCAAGAAGCTCACAATCCCTATCAATTTGCTTGCAAAATTCTTGAAACCAAGATCTTTGTAGTCGAAATATAAAACTTAAATCAAGATCTTTAAGAATAGTGGTTTCAGTAATCTCTGACTCAGGCTTCGTTGTTATGCGTCCAAGCGAAGAACCCTTTAAATCATAGCGTCTATGTATGGTATACTCGGAACAAAAAAGGTTTCCCATTATGATAAATCGAACCTGAAGTCCAAGAATTTTATAAGCATTTATTTTCTTATAAAGTAAATATTAAAAACTACATAATCCAAAGAATAATGATACCTTCTTCTGAGAAGGTCCATTTAACTTGACACAATGCAAGCCATAAAACTTTGTGACTAGAGCATTATCAAATGCTCGAAAGTGGTTGTAATAAGCTGGAAGCATTCTCAAGAGAGCCTGGAAAAAAAGTTCAGCCAAATTATTATATTAATAAATATATACTTGTTTTGAGACAAGATAACTAGTATGAAACTCACTTTAGCCTCAGCTTTTTTCATTGTCTTAATCATATAACGATCATCATTGGTTAAGTAAAAGAAGCTTCCACTTTTTCCAGGGGAAGAGAGTTCTCTTAGGGCATCATTTCCACATATAGATAACATGTAATCAGCTGCATCCACCTTGAATAGCCTCCTCAGAGTTCTACATTTATCTCAGAGAAAGCACCTTAGTTATAATATGCACAATGCAACAATCAATAGATATGTTATAATAGCAATGAAGCACGGACGCACAAACTAAACGCAACACCGATATTGGCACGTTGGTACGAGTAATAATGTAGAAAATATAGAATAAACTTGATTGAATGTGTCAGTGTCATGTCAGTACACAGACACAGACACTGAGACGACTCTTTTTCAAAGGTATCTAGGCCACTGAGTATAATAGAGAGTACCTAAAAACTACTGGGCAATAATCCTTCCACTTGAACTCACTAGATGGATGTGGAGGTGTATATTTTGAACCTTCAGGAGGAAATCTAGTCCACACTTTCTCTTTGGAATCAAAAGCTGAAGGCTTAAGATCAAAAGATGCTGAGGGGGCAGGTCTTCCAACAGAATGCCTATAGGTGCAACATTATGTTATACTGTGAATTAGAAACAAGAAATTAGATTTTTAATATTGTTTTTTACATTGGTATATAGTACCTGATTCCCAATTGTAAATTGAGCATGAGCTCATAATTCTTGTGTCCTTTGCATATGGTCTCTCCTTGCCTTTTTGATTTCTTAGGTGCTTTCAAAGTTTGTTTTGGGTTAGAACTTTGTATATGTAAACTTAACAAGTCATTATCATCTTTATTTGGAGTTCCACTACCATTAATATTACTACTACTATTACTATTATTATTATTTGTACCTTCCCCATCACAACCCCATAAATGCATTCTATCACTTGGCTTTTCAAGCCCTACACTTACCCTAGCATCCACTGACATTCTTCTTGGCTTAGTACTAGAACCATCCCCTCCACCACCGCCACCTCCTCCTTTTGTAGACCTCCACACTGCGAGTCGCTTTTGCGATGGCAAAACCGAAACCTTCTCGCCAGGACTTATTTGATATTCACTCAACTCATTATAAACTTGTTGTGGATCCCAATCAAGATGACCCTCTGTTGACCCATCAAATGGATAATATGTTCCACTTTGATCTCTTGGATCTTTACTCCAATTACCTACATAAAAACTTCCATCATTCCATTTGAATGTTCCACTCCCTTTAGGTAAACCATCTTCCCAATAACCATCATACCTATTCCCATTACTCCAAACAAATGAACCTTTACCCCAAATACTCCCATTTCTCCATTCACCAATGTAATACTTCTCATCTTTCCATGCATATTTACCTTGCCCATCTTGCAAACCTCTTCTCCATTCCCCCTCATACTTATCTCCATTTGAATAAACTTTCTCACCATGACCATGTTTCAAATTCATTACCCATTGTCCCTTATAAACATCCCCATTTGTAGCAGTATATGAACCTATCCCATCCATATAACCACTCTTAAATTCCCCTTCATAACAAGGCCCTGAAGGCCAAGTGAACCTTCCCTTTCCCATTGTTTTTCCTTTGAACCATTCTCCAACATATATACACCCATCTGTCCATAAATATTTCCCTTTCCCATGAGGGAAACTATCTGCCCATTCTCCCTTATAGTAATCTCCATTCGGTAGAACCCTTTCCGCCATGTATACTTCTGTTTCATCTCTGTTATCTTCTTCATCTCCATGCGATACATGCGCTGTCCCAAATATGCTATTCGCACGCTTCTTCGCAACTGCTTGTGTCTTCTTCACCGTAGCTTCCCATGCCTTCATCATACTACCATCTTTACCCATCATATTGTTCTTTTACATTCCCGCCAAATGCTTCAAAAAATTCATAACAAGATTATTATATCATTAGTGGAATATATAATAACAGAAAGTTTTGTAGATGGTTTTTGGATGTGAAACCAACACATGCATGTTGGTGTAAGATATTTGCTTCTCATAATCTTGGGCATGGAAAGTGATGATGTTATGAGATGTGCATGCACAATATTTCGTTATTATTTCATTTAGGAATTAATTCTGAGAATGAAGAAAAATGTGAAAATTTTCATAACTAGGTCTAGATGTGTTTTTTTCTTCATGCTTCAATGTTTGAATTGTTTTTTTGGTGAAAGAGGAAGATTCGGTGATCTCCTAGAACCACTAAAAAAACCGCAAGATATGGAGACAAATGTTAAATCAATGGGCTTGTTTACTATTCTTACAAAGGTCATAACAAATTTATCCATTTAGTGTTTCTTCACTACATGATATCCTTTTTTTTTATTCCATTTTTGTCCTTCAAGTTTTATGTCAAACAATCCTTCTAATCATAAATAAAAATAAATTTGTATTTTTTAAAATGTGACTATTTTTAGTCTATACAAAAAGATTACGATTACTTGCTTTTATTTTAAAAACTATAAATCAATTATTCAAAGTTTGGATTTGTAAGTGGATTTTGACAAAGTCTATGATTTTGTTAGTAGGTTTTTTCTTGATTATATGTTGTTTAGATTTGGGATTAATGATAAGTGATGATGTTGTATTCGCACTTGTTTGTGTTATGGTAATCGTGCAGTTTTGGTTAATGGTTGCTTGATCTAAAAAATTAGTATCCAAAGGGATTGAAAAAAGGCGATCCCCTAGCCCCTTTTCTTTTCCTTCAGGTGGCTAAGGGCCTAAGTGATTTGTTTTTTAGGGATGTGGTTCTGCTGCTTTTCTTAGGTGTCAGGGTGGGATCTTCTGAGTTGGCGGTCTACCATCTCCATAGACGAATGACACAATTATTCTGGTTGATGCTTCTTTAGAGAATCTCTGGTCCATCAAGACTATTCTCCGCGGGTTTGAGCTAAGTTCAAGACTTCAGATGATTTTTTTTCAAAGCTCTCTAATTAAGGTGAATTATGACCATCTCTTTTTAGACCTAGCTTGTGAATTCCTCAATCGTAAGCAGGAGTCTCTCCCTTTTAAATATGTGGCCTCCCGATGGGGGCAAACCACTGTCCGGAATCCACGTGGAAACCTCTAGTTAACCTTATAAATATAAGGCTCATTTCGTGGAAGCATAGGTATGTGTCCCAAGCGGGAGAGTGATTCTTCTTAATTGTGCTTTTAATCCCATTCCTTTTTTTTTATTTTACCTTTTTTTAAAAATACATGTCAAGATTTGGAAGAAGATAATGAAAATTCAACAGTGTTTCTGTGGGGAGGTGTGAAAAGAGCAAACAAGATTGCCTGGTTATGTAGGTTGATGTGTGTAAGCATGGGAAGTTATGGGGTCTTGGTGTTTGTGGCTATCGCTTGGTTAATTTGGCCCTATTAGATAAGTGGAGGTGAAGGTTGGTCTCAGGCATTTCAAGTCTTTGGTGTGATATCCTTGTTGTTAGATATGGATTTGCTCGGTGATTAGTCACCATTTTTTTACTATATTTTATCATTGTTTTAGCAGTAGATTTGATGGTCTGTCACTGCTTGCATATTGAAATTAGATGATTTTATAGATGATAATCTCCCATACTGATGGTGCCAAAGTAATAATTAAAAAGATCGTTTCCATGAGGACTATAATTTAATAAAGTAATTATGTGCAAATGAAATTAATGCAATTGGAGGGTGATTGATCTGGTTCCAAAACAAATATGAGAAACCTAAAAGAATAAAATTCAAGTTGAGAAATGCAATTAGGTATTTTATATCAAATCCCTTTATTTTACATGTTGATGAACTGCGTATTTATTGAGTTTTAATTAAATTATAGTCTCACTGCGAACTAACAAGACCACTGCATCCAATTCTTTGGTGTGCAGCTCGTCAATTTATACGATAATTCCCTAATTTCGTAGGCTAATTTAAAGTTAGATTAGGTGTTCAAAGTGCGTTAATGCAAAAGAAACGACTTCTAATTACCTATCTCTAGTTAATTACAAAGTCTAATAAATTTCCTAAATCAGATAAGTAGACTAACAGTCAGAAATCTCTACGTATCTATATCAATTTACGCGCTCGTAAATGAACAAAAAGTATTAAACTCAAGAATAATTTAAATAAGATAATAATAATAAAAGTACTCAATAAATCTCAAACAGATATATTGTCCAACAGAGTTAAAATAAGATTCATCTCAAAAAGACCTAATCTAGAGAAACTTAACTACTCATTGATAAATTTACAGATATCATGAGTTGATAAGTATTCATCATCAAAATCTATGGAAAAATAGTTCTCCAATGACTTCAATGCTCTCAAAATTCATCAGTTTTTTATCCAAGATTTAGAATCCTCCAAAACTTAGCAAAAAGGCCTTTAAATAGCACTTCTGCTGTTAGCAAAAAGCGTGTCATTGCCTCACGATGTTGTTGCATCGCGTCACGATAGGATGCATCGCACACGAGAAATCCAAGGGAAAATGCTTTGTTTTCTTCACTTTTTCTTCTATATTTTCACTAAGTCTTTATTTCTTTGTTATGTTGGATTTTATCTAATTTCTTTACACTTTATCCTTGCTTTTTTTCTTCCAAATTCATCCGAATTTTCTCATAAAAAACATGTAATAAAGACTATCATCACAACCTCGAACTTAATATGTTACATGTCCACTACTACAAAAAAAACACATGTTACCTCAGACACGAAGGGGATTTTACCTTAACGATACAAGCGAGGTAACGAAGGGCCATGAAAACTTGTCACTTTACCCTTTGGTTTCTGATAAACTGAGGGAATAGTTGAAATGATCATTGGTTCATATTGAGTATGAATATGAAAGTAAAAAAACGGTCTAGAGGTGGGTGAATAGACCCAACTTAAAAATTGCAACCGCCGTTTTCCAAAATCATAGTGTTTTTACAATTGAGTTGGCGCTGAAGGTTTGAAGCGAAATGAAAATTACATAATCGATTATGATCAAGCAAACACACACTTTGTTTCACAAATATCCAAGATTACAAACAATGAAATATTTGGTATGAGTTGAATCAAGTTGTATAGTCACAAGAAGTGTACACAGTTGATTCTATGTGGATTACTAAATTCAATTTATTTTCAGATTTATCAATTATAATACAATCTTTAATAGTTGTCTAATTCCACCAAAACCTCATCTTTACATAATTGTTCACTATCAACAATAAAACGTTATAATACGATGGAATTGAAATACCTAACGTGCAATCTCTACGAAATATAAACGCAAGTGTAGAGTTAGAAAGATAACACTGAGATTTATAGTGCTTTGGCGTTCATCCTTGCTTGGCATATGTGCACTCTTCAATGGTTTCCCATTGGAACCTGCATATTTCCTTGTTATTTGACAAATATTTTCAATAATCCATACAATCACCAACCCACAATTTACAGCTGAGAAAATAAATATCCTAATTTCGATCTTGACTTGTATCTAGCAATCTTGTCAAACTCTTCTACATAATCTTTACTAAAATTTGTTTCTTGAACCTTCCAATAACATCAATTCTGCTCTAAGCCTTCGTGTATAGCTATTAAGCCTTCGATCCTACCAATTCCTTGAGCAATGATATTGTCCAAAGATCCGAAAAGAACTCACCCTTATTTATAGCCTTCTACTCAATTACTACTAAGGAAATGCTGGAGAGAAGAACCTACTTCTTTTCAATGAAATTTGTCACCACCATTGACAATCCCTCTTTCTTGCTAAAAACCTGAAAAACTCAACAAGATCTCCAAGAATGGTTAGTTTCAAGTACGCGTCTCCTTAAATTAATCTCAGAACTCTAATTGACAAGATCTGAACTCAATTCAAGTTGAAGATATGAGAAATTCATAGCAAGACTTTGAATACTCAAACTACAAGAAATTGATTTTCACATAAAATCACACTGAAAAATCTTAACAGATTGATGTATGTTATGTTTGAATGATGACAGAAAATAATTTGTATGTGCTTGAGATGAAGCATGTGAAATGGTTGAAAAAATGTAGTTAGATTTGAATCAAGAAAAATATGACTTGAATCAAATGAGCAAAAATGAGGTGAAATGCAATAAATACCCAAACTTTGAAAAATATGTCAATTGATTCAAATCATAGAATACGTGATTCAAATCACAAGCCTTCTGATTTGAATCAAGAATAAATTATGATTTGAATCAAATCGCCCATTGTTGGCAAGAGTTTTAGGCAAAATGATTTGATTCAGATCATGTTGAAAGTTTGATACCAATCAAATCAAATAGAATTAAACATGATTTGTGAAAAATGGAATTGATTTAAATCATGCCAAAATTTTGATTCGAATCAAATCAGACAATTTATTCCCAGGAAAATGATTAGAATCAAGTGAAAACTTTGATCAAGATCAAATTCCTGAGACGAGCTATTGTTCTATTTGATCAGAATCACGAATTCAATGTAAAACTGTCTAATTCGAATCAATCTTGTAAAATATCAAATTTTCAAGTTTTCAAAAGCTTTTTGAGATTTTACCTTGAATCATATATAGTTAAAAAAACACAAGGGAATTTCATTTCACTATCATATACTATTGATCAAAGAGCATTTAGCTCAAGATAAAATCTGACCAAAGTTTTATGCATGTTAAACATGAGAAATGCAATCATGAAGGAGACTCAATAAATTGAAATAAAAACACAGATGAAAGTGATATGACAAACAACAAAATAATCAGATAGTAAGAGACATGCAACTACAATTTTCCCTTTTTTTATGTTATGAAAGCTTTCACTTGAAGTTGAGTCGACCTTTGGGTAACGCGTATAACTCCTCCTAAAACATTACACACAAACAACTTAGAGCATAAAAACACATAAAAC